ATAATAGTTAATCAATAAATTTTTACAAATAAATCCAATTAATAAATTGCTTTCTAACAATAAACATAAACATATTTATTGTATAATTTATACAATATTCTATTAAATATGAATTCCTCTTATAAAGTAAGCAATATCAGTAATTTCAAATAAACTCATATTAATTTAACATGTTAAGCGATTTTAAAGACCTCAGATTTGAATTATTTAAATCAATGTTTTAATTATATACTGTATTTATCAAGTTACTTAATATTTTGACTTAAAATTTTTACCTCAAATAAGCCATCATCAAAGTTTACTGTAAAGACCACTTTTTGCATCAGTTTACACGTTATATACTCAACAATAGATAAATGGAAACTATATAAATAGAACTGTCAAATACATTATTTATTTACTTGTGAATTATACAAGTTTAAATTACTATTTCATTATCAAATACAGAATAACATATTTGTATTGTGCATTATTGGTCAATTTATAGCTTTTTTATAACAAATATATAAATAATTCTATAATAGACAAGTGATTGTTAAAAGTGTGACCAACCGTCCTTTATTAGAGGACAGTCCTCTATTTAGGGTGTCTGTCCTCTGTGTTTTAATAGAGTAATAGTGGACATTAAATGTCCTTTATTTATTAAAAATATAAAAAGGAATATTTAGAAAAATAATTGTAGGATCTAGCTGCAAAATAAATTATATTTTACATTATAATCATAATCAAATACATTAACATGCAATTAAAATAAATTTCCTTACAACTTTTATAGAAAAATATGTTTAAAAATTAATAAAATTAGGAAAATTTGATGGTCAGTAAAATATTTTTTCAGTAGTAGTCAGAAATAACAGTACAAATATTTTCAAAAAATTGTAATTCAATTCCATTATAAAAAATGATGTCCACTAATTGTCCTCTATTTTTTCCATTATTTTACCCAAATGTCCACTAATGATTAGCCTTGAGTTGGTCACACTGATTGTTAATTTTGTTATCCCTTTGTTTATTAATCTATAAGTGTGCATGCTTTAATGTCAATTAAGTTATTGAATAGACTCTGGGTTATATTTTTAATTGCACTAGTATACCAAAATGTGTGATAAATTGTTTATAACTTAATAACTACAGAACTTAATAAAATGAAGTAATGAAATGGTCATACATCTAGGATTTCTGTGGCATTATCATCACCTTCTTGAGCATATCTTTTCGGTAAGTAATCGATGACAAGTGTATTACCATTGTTTGCGTTCACTGCACCCATGGGTGATGTGAGGGTCGTGCTGCTGAATGTGTCACAACTATAAGTAACATTCTGTTGAAAATCAAACCTCCTAAAATAGAGCTGTAATTTCTCCCTGACCCAAAGGTCAATAGTCCATTCATCACCACAACCAGTCCCAATCGTACTCATACTAATAGTTTACGTTTTTAGTAACAACTTAATACAACATATTTAATTATGAATTGTTGCATTTCAACGAATATCCTTACTATAAAAATACATGTCCACCCAGACTGGACACCACAGGATAGTATCAATATGTGAATAATTGAACAAAACAAGTACAGTAATCAAAACATGTGTTCAAACTCTGCCTTCATTTGACTATTAACTCTACATTGAGTGTCCATTAGTATAATAAAGTCATTAAAGTAAAGTTGTCCCCATATATTATATAATATTAATTGCCAAATAATCTACAAATAATTGCCAAATAATCTAAAAATAATTGCCAATAATCTACAAATAATTGCCAATAATCTACAAATAATTGCCAATAATCTACAAATAATTGCCAAATAATCTACAAATAATTGCCAAATAATCTACAAATAATTGCTAAATAATTACCCAACTCATTACCCAACTCATTACCCAACTCAGCTCTACTAGAAATCGTTGTGACCCCCACGCATATTCTTGGGAACCTCCGAAACGACATCGGATTTATGTGTACTAATTAAAAGTAGAATAGGAATGTAGATTTTATATTTCGCGAACCCGATATGATAGAAACTTGCTGTAAAGCACATATTGTGAGTAGTATCGAGTTGTATTTCGTGAATTTTTCTGGCCATGAAATTCGGACGGGATGACCCCCAAAATCGGTAAATACCCGCAAACCTCTTAACCCCCATTTAGTGTTTTGCCAATAACTCGGCCATTTGACAACTTAGGATGTTCTAACTTCATGAGGTTGTGGAGGGCCCCGAAGGGGCCCGACACAACCAACCATAGATGATTTTAACCCGAGGGGACGCCCCCAGCGAATTCCGAAATTTTCCAATTAACACCCATTTACGCCGGTTGCTTGGCTCCGACCAGGTAATAACTTGGTATGCTACTAGACACTAGGAGACCCTCCAACATGACCCCCGGTAGGGGTCGGGTAATTACCCGGAAATACCCGAGTTGGGTACATGTGTGTTTGACGCCCCCGGGGGTCTCAGGGAGCTCAGAAAAATATGGGAATGGGTCCAAACGATAGGTGACTAAATTTAGGAACTTTTAAAATTAATAGTAAATAGTGTTCATATTGAATCACATGTTAATTGAGTTACCATAACATCCATATCTATCGCATGCGTTATAACTTAGAAACCGGTTTTAATTATAATAGAAAACATACAGTTATTTCTGAATTACAATGAATTTTAATGATAAATTCAGTTAGCATTATACACAAGTTGTGTTACATAACATCAAATTTTTGATTTAAGAATTATTTATAGAAAATTCTTACATACCGTACCTCCTAATCCCTCAATGAGGATTTTACCTGAGAAATCCCGATAGAGGTGTTCGATCATTTTTCATGTTCTTTCCAACGCTGTGCTGATTGGCTCTCTACGACGTATACTTTTTGCTGTACAGATAAGCTACCTGTGCCGACCTACCGGTGCTCGAGACTAGTACTCTCTTCGGGAAAATATGTAAGACCAAAAACCATAGTTGAGGTTTAAATATAAATTTGATAACTTAAATAGTTTAGCAATAATCCGCATTTTAGTAGTCAAATCTGATGGACAAAATTTTTTTAGAAATCTGATACAATGTATTTATTTTGTAAGATTTTATCCCAATTTTTAAAAATTATTATAAAGGTTTAGATCTATTGAAAATTCATTGTAATATTTAAAATCATAAGATATTAATATTAAATACTAGTAATCCTAACTAATAATGGATGTTCGCCAGTTTGCAAATACCAGATTAATATTGCTAGGTGAATTGGCATGAATAAATAACATTTTGCACAAAAATATAAAAATCTGATTGCTCCTGGTCACCGAAAAACCCGAAAAACCATTTGGCTATTTAATTTTATTATCTATTATTATTTATAATCTAATGTTATTTTTAATTAACTTAATGTAGTATACAATTATTATTACAAAATATACAATTAAAGTACCAAAAATATAATAACCAAGGTAATTTAAAGGTAATTTATACTATTGGTTTGTTTAATTTGCAATATATTTTGGGTATTGCTGAACTGGCCCCTATTTCGTGGCCCTTAGCCCATTGGCCCACTATTACAGGGAAGCCTACCTAACCTAAGCTATCATACTTAACAGGCATTGCAGTGAAACAAACCAACTTCTAATGTAATTAAGTTAAGTTTGGTTAGGTTGGCTTTCCTGTAGTGGTAGGCCAAGGGCCACGAAATAAGGGCCAGTTCAGCAAAACCCATATATTTTTATATTACAGCTTGAATATAATTCCAGAAAATTTTTAATTTTATTATATTTTTTGTAAAAATATTAATATTGAAATATATTACGAATATTTTTAAAATTTCGATACAGTAATACAATTAAAAATATTTTATTTATGCATGTTATAATAAAAAGTTATAAATGAATAATTAATTTAATTATATCAATATTATTATACTGTACATATGATAATTATATGAAATTTTTATACAGACTGTAATATAAAAGTTTATTACAAATCCAACAAACCAATAATATAAATTACCTTTAAATTATCTTGGTTATTATATTTTTGGTACTTTAATTGTATATTTTGTAATAATAATTGTATACTACATTAAGTTAATTAAAAATAACATTAAATTTATCCAAATTTATCAAAAAATAAAGCAAAAAATAATTGAACTGAAAGTGGATTAGAACCTGGGTACAAAATGTTAATTGTGCGACACATTACTATTGAGCCACTGAAATTCTTTTAATATTTTTTGATTAACATTAGTATCCATTAAAAATTAAATAGCCAAATGGTTTTTCGGTGACCAGGAGCAATCAGATTTTTACATTTTTGTGCAAAATGTTATTTATTCGTGCCAATTCACCTAGCAATACTAATCTGGTATTTGCAAACTGACGAACATCCATTATTAGTAAATGTTACTTTCTCACAAAAGTGCTTTAGGGTACGTACTTACAAAATATCTAAAGTTTTACTTAAGCTGTTGTTTAACCAATTACTGTACTATCACTGATATCCGTAATAGTATCATAAGTGCAAGATTACCTTCAATGATACAGTATAAATAGTATAAATAGTACAAAAAACAGTATAAATAGCAAGCTCAGGTAAACTTATTTTTTAAATCAAAACAAATAGAAACACTTTCCAAAATGTTTAATTACTTTTCATTACTTTTCATTTCATTTTCAGTGGTTAATGGTTAGTAATTTTTAAATGCTTTGTATATTAGCTAGTATTGAAAACAAGTAATATTTAATTTCAATACAATTCATACAGTTTTATGCGGCAAACCCTGTGCCGAGCGAAAGATTACGGGCGCCGACAGCGTATGCGTCTGTAACCAAACCTATTGCGATGACTTCCCGCAGCTAACTCTCCCGAAGGCCGGCGTTGTATTGGTCTACGAAAGTGGCAAAAGTGGGCACAGGTTTCAGGAGACGCAACTCAAACTTCAAACACATACCAGTCCTCAGACCACCAGATCTAATAAAGACACGCAAATCATAACAATCGATAAGAACCAGAAATATCAGAGTATTATTGGTTTTGGCGGCGCCTTCACCGATGAGTTCGGTATGGTTTTGAACGCCGTTCCCAAACAACTGTCCACTTATTTGATGGAAAGCCTGTTCAGCAAAGATGGTATCGAGTATAATATGGGACGACTACCGGTGGCCTCCACTGACTATTCGTCCCGCCATTACACGTATGACGATGTGGTCAACGATACACAACTCACCAAATTTGCTTTGGCTAAGGAGGACATGGAGCTCAAGGTATGGTATTAATTGTCAACATTATTGAAACATAGTTAACATTATTTGATGAATACTCTAAAATAAAATCTACAATAAATAGATTCCTCACATAAAAACCGCCCAAACCTTAAGCACGAAACCATTGAAAATATTTGGCAGTTCATGGGCTGCACCCGATTGGATGAAAACCGGTCCCGAAGGACCACTTCGCAACCAATTGAAAGGGGAGACGGGAGGGGAGTACTACGATATTTGGGCTAATTATCTGGTTAAGTATGTAAAGCATACAATAAATTAAACTATAATTATGTTTTGATACTAAAAGGATTGGTTTATATAAGGTTTTTAGACATATATAAGGCCCAGAATATCCCGATCTGGGGGCTGACCACTCAAAACGAGCCGACGTGGGGCCGCGAATTCAAACCGAACGACCTGTTCTTTGATCCGGAAATGCAAAGAGTGTTTGTCCGCAAAAACTTGGGACCACTTCTCAAGAAGTCTGGCTATACTCCCGACAAACTAAAACTTATGATCTTTGACGACAACGTGTGGCACAACACCAGTGACCACAACACTCTGCAACAGTTCGCGGACACCATATTAGGGGACAAGGAGGCCGAGCAGTACGTGTCCGGCATTGCCTATCATTGGTACGAGAGCTCAAAGACTGATGAATACCCGGACACTGTGTTGGATGAGGTGCACACCAAACACCCCAACCATTTCATGCTAATGACTGAAGCCTGTCATCTGGAAGGGCTGGGCAATGGGCGCTGGGATTTTGGGGAACATTACGCGCACGATATCATTAGAGTTTGGTTTTTGACTAAAACTTTTGAATATGTATTGAATTTGTGTTTCTATAGGACTTGAATCACTGGACCACCGGTTGGGTGGAGTGGAATATGGCGTTGGGTTTGAACGGCTGTCCCCGTTGTGGTACCGATCAGTTCGGAACGGCTATAGTGGTGGACATCGAGAAGGGGGAGGCCTACAAACAGCCCACTTTCTACGCGATCGGACACTTCAGTAAGTTTTTGTCACCCGATTCCGTACGCATTGGCCACCAGTTGGGGAAAGCCTTGAATAATGTGTTTGTGTTGACAATGAAACGGATGGACAATGCGATCGTTGTTGTGGTCCTCAACCAAAATGAAAGTGAAATTGATTTGCAAATCAATGAATCAAATACTCATTTGACTCATACTATACCGGCGCGATCTATACAGACATACATTTGGCAATAAATGAGAATTTCTAAAAATACAATTTGAAATACATATTAAATAACATAATTTAATATTCCACACATTTATATGATGTCCTTGATGTTTTATGAGTTACATTCTGAAAAATAAATTTAATTTTTATACAAAAGTGCCATAAGAAGTGCTAAAAGGATATGACTATAGCATACCCTCTGATACTAAATACTGTCAATATTCTCATCTATTCGTCAATTTTTCTCTATTTTTGTGATTTTATTTAATTAATTTTGAAATCCATAGTATTCTTATTATAAACGTTATGCAGTTTATTATATATTAGAAAATGTCTTACGATTAATACTAAATTCAATTTTCCAATTTAATTATAATAAAATATTTTATAAAACCTTATTTTTATTTCATTTGGAATTAGTTTAGTTGTGCTTTTAGTTAGTGATAATTTATAATTTACAGGCTAATTTGTAAATAATGTTAATATAAACAAATAAATATTAAGAACTTTATATAATGCCAGATCTGGTCACTCACTTAATGAACCGGAAGTCGATCCTTCGTCCGAGACTTCAGGGTTTTCATCGAAAGTCAATGAATTCTTATCATTAATAGTATCCACGAAAGTCTCCAAAGAATCCAAATCAATGTTTGCTTTTGATTTTAAGTAATTGCAATTGTATAATATAATACTGTAGAACTTATGTATTATACATCCACTGTATGGGAATCCACACTAATTTCTACTGTATAAACATTATACGGTATCATTTCCCAATTTTATAATGCTTTCTTAATTAAATATTTACTATTATTTATTATGCACCATTAATGACTCAATAAAAATACATCAATTAATGAAAATATTTGTATTTTATAGTCAAACAATGTTCATTATGAATTTATAAAACAAAATAATTCGTATAAAATTTAATTGCATTTAATCACTTAATTACTGTATGTTAAATATTTACTTTCCATTAACTAAACCTAAATTAAATATACATTAAATTATTCATTCATTTCATTCATTATATTCATTACATTACAGTCAACAATTCACTTAATGTTACAGTATATTACATTTATTTCTTAAGACAAAAATAATATATTATACACTTCTATAAAATTTTTATAAATTTTGCGTTTAAAGCTACAACTAATAATGAATCTGGATGCAATTAACGTAAACAAAGTATTACCCCTTGAGCTCCGGGATGTTTCTGCCGGTAGTCATCTTTTTAAGATCGGTCTATCATTATATCCGTTTGAATCCGCGAAACGTCACCGATAGACGCGGCCTTCACTTACCAGTCGACTGATGTCCTACTCATACAGAAAGACAAGTACTTTGCGGTCGATATTAAGAACTTGTGTCAAAGCCTGAACGGTGTGGCTCAAGGGTATCAGTCCAGCGATGTCTCTGATCTAAACGTTGGGCCGACTGTGGATGCGGTCACAGACATAGAGGACGACAAGATATTGCCCTTTCAGTACCCGTCCTATTGGCAAATGGCAGTCAATCTCAGTCAAAGGGAAAGCTATGGAGGGCTCAGCCATGAATCTCGTCGAAGAATTCTTACGATATCATAGTTCCCAGAATTCTAGCCATAGTTCCCATAACCAAGAAACTGGTCATTCTATGCCTACCGAATCGATTCCAAATACAAATACCGGGCCACTCATCCAACCAACGTCTACTGACAAATAAATTATTTTAATCTAAACTTGCATTTTGTTTTAAATCACGTTATAATAATAGTATCAATGATACTGTATCATAATTTGAAAATTATCAATTTAGTAATTCAATCTCAATTATACATATCTCAAGTAATATATTAAATCCATAGTACACTATACTGTAGACACCGATGGCTATGAAAGTGATCAACGACTTACTACAAGATCTATTGGAAGTCCTTTTTGATAGATTTCATTTCATTTCATTTCATTTCATTTCATCGATAAATTCGTGATTCGGTGCGTCTGTAAGCTATGGCGCGATGTCGTCGACCAGACATTTGCCAACAAAACATCTCTTTTGTTATCCGACAAATGTTTGGACAGTTTCTACAGTTTGTATCAGTATAAACTGGATGCTTTCAAAAAGACCCCAAACTATTGTGGCATTCATTTGAAAGACTTCTTCGGATCCAAAGCAAGACAACCTGTCATTCAGAAAACTTTGACACAAATCATATCAAAGTTTCCACAATTGAGACGACTTTACATTTGTCTCATACGAAGTAAAATCGAGAGAAATATCATCGATATTGTGGTCAAGAGTTGCGATAAAGACTTACAGCACTTAACCATCTTCTTGGGAGACGACAAACACAGACGTATTGACATCAATGAGTCGGAAGCGCTGGCACTCTGTCATCGGTTTCCAAACCTCAAAGTCTTGCAAATAGAGACCACTTATGTATACATTGAAGAGGAAGCCATTGAAATACTATTCAAAGGGTTGCCTAAACTCGAGGCCTTTACTCTGTTGAACCCTCGTTCCCGATACGAAACCCACGACTACGAGGGAAAGGCGTTTCAATGGCTTAACCCCGACATCAAATCCATCCGTACGTCTGGACACCTGTTTGATGAGAATGGGATCGAAATGTTGGCCCAAAGACAGCCCCAACGCCTGCGAAAGCTATCGGTGCCTCAGTTTGAGACCAAACGTATGCCACAAATCGTTGAGCACTTCCAGTGCCTGACATGTGTCTCATTGGAGACATGTATGGGTTGCTGCTCTGGTATGACTCAAACACAACTCAACCAATTCTTCGGCCACTTCTCGGGTCTCAAGAACTTAGAGAAACTATGTCTCCGTCTGTACGGCACCCCATATATCAGGGCCGATGAGATCCAGTTACTCACCGATTGTCGCAATTTGAAGGCACTGTCATTGATGGGCGGTCTGACCGCCGATGCCATCGAAGTTATTCATCAAACGTTTTCACCGAAAGTCAGCCGTATTTCTCTCTATGTCTTCGGTTCCAGTCGTCTGACCGTTGAATCCATTGTGACTATCGTTGAGATGGCAAACAAGAGACCCAAACGACGGCTTCTGTTTGTTTGCGGAAAATATCTGCGAAAAGAGTTCAAAAATCTGAAACTAAAATCACC